AAAAAAAAAGAACACACAAGGACAATAATTATTAGCTGCCCCGTTAAATATTGCAACTCAACCAGTAGGCCTAATCGCATAACCTTTAATGTCAAGATAGTGCTAACATTTTATATCGAATTCCTTTTCAAGCTTATCGGCAATCATCTTTGCAATGGCTAAGCTGCTGGTAGCACCGGGCGAGGGCGCATTGCGACAATGCAGTACTTGATGTGCTAGTGCGCCTTTTCCTTCGCCTTTATCGAAAACGAAGTCATCCACCAAATTACCATGGCTGTCCATGGCCTGTGCGCGTACGCCAGCTGGTCCGGCACTTATATCGAATTCATTGATTTCGGGTATAAACTTCTGCAACTCTTTGGTTTGTAATCTTATAAATATTGACTTAGACATTTCGCATAAACCGAATTTTAAATGTCGGGTAGCCATTTTCAAGAAACCGGGATGACGTACCGCATCGAATAATTCCAAAAGATTAATGTCATTCCAGCTGAAATAAGAAAAAGACAGCGAGTGGTTAGCTAATTAATGTGAAAATGACTACAGATTGCATAACAGTTATACATGAAACTTACTTGTAGCCCTCACGCTTAAATGCGAGCACAGCATTTGGTCCAAGCCAGACGGAACCGTCCATGCGCGGTGTGAAATGCACACCCAAGAATGGCAAATTTGGATCCGGTACTGGGTATATGTTGCCACGCACCATATGCTGCTTCTCTTTCGATAGCAAGAGGTATTCGCCACGGAAGGGTATAATGCGTGGATCACGCGGACAGCCTGTCAACTCCGCTAATTTGTCCGATTGCAGGCCGCCACAGGTGAGCACATAACGTGTACGCACTTGTTGGCGGTCACGAGCGCCACGTATAGTCACCGGGTATTTATCAGCATCCTTGTCCGAGGTCTCCAAGAATTTCGAAACCTATTACAATATAATATAGTTTTTAATTAATTTCCATATCTTCCTGTATAAGTGTAACCATATTTACTTTGAAGTTGAGATGCACATCTCCGCCGGCCTGCTTGAAGTCTTGTGCATAGTACTCTGTAACAAGACCCCAATCGACAATGCCCGTATGCGGACTATGTATTGCCTTGACACCTTCGCAATATGGCTCAATTTCTTTGATTTCATTTTCGTCGATTAGCTTCAGATCAGGACATAAATTCTTTTGGCCCCGTTCATACAAATCCATTAAACGTCCAACTTCATCCTCGCTGGTGGCCACAATTAATTTGCCCACCTTTTTGTATGGTATTTTCTTTTCATTCAGAAAATCATAAGCCAAATGCATACCCTGCACACATAATTTTGCCTTCAATGAACCTGGTTTGTAATAGATACCAGCATGTATGACACCCGAATTATGTCCACTTTGGTGCACGGCTAATTTATGTTCTTTCTCTAGTAATCCAACGCGTAAATGAGGATGTCGTAGAAGAATTTCGCGCGCTGATGCGACACCGACTATGCCGCCGCCAACAACAACCAAATCGTAGTCACTTAACAAAAATAGTAAAAATAAATTACGTAAATTAGATAATTGGTAGGCAATATACAAAAAATGAGAATGTAATTCCCAAATGCCTCCGTATACATATGTAGATAGGTATGTGATGTTTGCATTTATATTTAGATGTGTATGTCTGTTGCTTGTATGTGTATGTAGATAAAGCATGCATGTGTTGTATCCATACTCATTTTGAATGCTCCTGAACCACCGCTGTCCAGTCGTTGCTGCCACCGATGCAGGGTTCGACAGCTTTTGTGTCAACACTACTGTGCCTCTAATACTTTTGAATAGTTGTGCCATTCTCGCAGGAAATTTTCACTTTCTCTTCAACACCTTTAACGCAACTCACAGAGACCTTAGTTGACCTTGTCGTACCCCTTTTTTCCCGTTGGATAAAGTAATTAGCGTTATGTGCTTTGTTAATTCTCTACGAGATGAGTTACGATTTTGCGTATTTGATTACTCGAGCCGTGTGAGCTTTTCGCGAGAGAAGAAAACCAACTGAAAGCACTTCGCCTACTTGGCCGTGCTAATCAACCGCCCACAAGCACCTACCAGCAATCCAAATATGATAGAATATAATAGAATTCTCATTTTGCTAGCAATCTACTTGCACTGCTCACAGTAAAGCGTGTTGGTAGTTCGTGCATATACATGTGTACGTACAAAAATAAATAACTTCCAATCAATTTTAGTGATAACAAACGTCAAATCAGCTGTTCATTGAACTAGCCAATTGGCGTTGCCAGATACTTTATGCTGATATGAAAATAAAACTAGCTTACAAAGTAGCTCATGCCATTTTTATTGAGTGCAGTTATGAATATTTCTAAAAGAAGTTGCAAAAAGAATAGCACTTAAATTTAATCGTTTTTCTCAATATTACAAAATAAGAAACTGGAAAATTTCCAACCAGATTTGTTGAACAAATCCAAAAGGTTAGGGTGAAGTATTTACCTCAGGTCCAATCTGGCATTTCCAGTTCGCGTATGTTTTGTTTGAGCGTTTGACAAATTGATAAAAAGTCGGGAAGTTGCAGCTGGCATCCAAGAAAAAACAAACACTTTTATGTATTTGCGGAAACAAATAAATAATTGAAATATCGCTAAGGCCTATAAAAATGCCTTCGTTTTGTGCTGTACAAAACTGTAGTGATAAATATGGACATGCGGACAATATATCTTTCCATAAGTTAGTGTTTCATGCGAATGATTCCCCAGCAGTCTTAAAAGTACCATTCTTTTCCAGATTTCCCTTCAAACGCGAGGAATTGTTGCAGAAATGGCTTAATTTCGCAGAACGCGGCACAAATTGGCGCCCCTCGAAATGGAGTGCTATTTGTAGTCGCCACTTTCGGGATGAGGACTTCAAGTGTTCGGCTGATCGAAAGATTTTAAAGAAAGCAGCAGTGCCAAGCTTGCGTGTGTTAAAGCATATACATGGGCCCGATAGTGACAATCTTCAAGCGGCACCAACTGAAGACGCATCCAAGGATAAACAACTATTAGTGCAAAGTAAAGAAAAAAACACAGATGGCGACGATATCCCCGTTGCGGAGGCAGTTGAGGACAACGTCGATGACTGCGACGAAGAAGAGCAGAACGTAAGCTAATAGATCATTTTAATAAACGTTCTTACTTTAATTTTAATTTCAAGGGATTACAAAACACTCCTTTGACAAGCTCGCCGAGCACACCGAAAGTTAAGTGCCGCTTGTGTGGCAGTACTTGCTCGTCGGTAGTTTCGTTCTCTACGAATTTCGAGATTTATGGCATGATACAGAAATGCTTTCCCACACTCAACATACAAAAAGATGATCACTTGCCGAAAGAAATGTGTCGCACTTGTCTCAAACGTTTGGAAACGTTTTCACGCTTTGTCGACAAAGTACTCGAGACTCAAAGTGAGTTGCAACGTAAATATCGCATAGAGAAGGCGAGTAATAGCTCACGCGCCATCGAAAGGCAGCTTAAAGTGAAGCAAGAGCCAGTGGTACGTGTCAAGCAAGAGGTAGCGGAGGGGTTTGAAAGCTTTTTGTCTGATGATTTGGATATGGGTATGGACGAGGGTTGTGAACAAGAGAACGAAGCGGATACGAGCGTTGAACAAAAATATGATTTTTGTGATTTTCCTATGTTAAATGCGCAGGACATCATCAATAATTGTGACATAATGGAGATTATAAATCTAGATGATCCTTTTATTAATATACCAGACGATGATGCGAACACAAATTGTGAAAATGGACAAGAAGGGCAGCAGCAGCAGCAGGAACCGGAACAATCAAAGCATCATCAAGGGCAACAGCGAAATAAATCTGTTCTGCCTAGTGCACATGACTTACTTCAGACCCACCTGCTTAGCGAAGAGCATAATTACGCTTATACGACAGAGGATTTGAAAGAGGAATGGCAGCTCAGAAATATATATAAGACTGAAAAGACTGACGGTACCGAATATGGAGAGACTGCAGAGTTCATTGCAAATGTCGAACCTGAAGATGACGAACAGGGGGTCTATGCAGGAGAAGAGCAACAGCATGGTGACAATGATAACACAGCGATAATGTATAGTAAGCAAATATGCGCGTTTAAGTTTCTAAAAAAATTTTAATAATTTTATTTAATTTTTTCAGAAGAAAACTTTTCCTCGATTAATGACGTCCCATCCAATAATGCTAATACAGAAAACGTGGCCGCATCATCACACTCGCCAGCAGCAGAGACGCGTTCAACCCGGCCAATAGTCACTTCGGTAAGTGATTTTGCCGACGCTTCACTAAATCTGTCTAATGGCACGGGAAGCGGACACATTCACAACGAAAAATTGGTGGTAACTGCAGTAAATGATATTCTTGGACCGAATGCCGATACCACTGCTGCCCCATCGGGGGCGACCGCGTCTACATCGCCCACGGTTGCCATTAAACCGCATGCCAAACCAAATATAGTAGTGCTGAATGAGAGTATTGTTAAATCTTCATCGGTATTTCAACTGCACACCTGTCCATGTTGTCAGCTGAAATTCTTTAGTGTGGAGTCCCTAAATCAGCACTATAATGTGGCGCATCAGTCACAGACACCATTGGAAGAAGGATCGCAGTTACGTGCAGAACAACAAAAACAACAGGGAGATCATGCACAGCAGCAGCAGCAGCTGCAAGTGCGACAGCTTCAGCATCCATATAACCAACAGCAGCAGCAAAATATGTTGACACATAATAATCATTTTCAACAGCATCAGCATCAACAACATCAGCAACAGCAACAGCAACAACACGCGCAAGCACAATTGCCTATGGTGAGCGTGCCTACCGATTACTTGTGGAAGCCATATGGTGGCACCTCTGGCGATTTGAGAAATGAGCCGTACAATTTCAATTGTAAAGTGGAAAAGGACTTTTCTTTGACGACTGCGCAGGCAGGTAGAACTCACAAAGCTGAAGATAATCTTAGTTACCAACAGCCAAATATTTTCGAACAGCAATTTGGTCTTGCCAATTCACATAACACAAAAAATACTTTCATAACGCCAAATTCCATTCCTAAAGATGTATCAAACGTTGGCGCGCCAAATGTAGTACGAATTCTTGAAATGAAGCGTACATTTCTGCGTCAGCATGAGCCCTACCATAGTATTGGCAATGTTCCTCCAACACAAAGCACTGATTCAGTGAAAACGGGCAGCTTTTACGCTGCTACTTTACCTAGAACAGATAATCATTCGAAGCCCGTAGCGCCTACACTAACACCGCCGCCACCACCGAAGCGTCGCAAGCATCGCTTGAAGATAAATAGTAAAGTCATCGCGCGGCTGAATGCGTTAGAACGAAAGGTAACCGCGGCAGTTACACCCGACTTTTTTGCTACGGAATACCGGCAATTGCGTCGGCGTTACCTGTTGCTGCAACGCAAATGCAAATCGTTGGAAGTGCACGTCCTAGGAAAGCAAGCCGCGCACGAGGACAATACTGTCGCATCGTCGATAAGCGCAACTAAGACGCCCACAAAACAGCAAGCGCCAGTGCGCCAGTCTCAAAGTCGCTTCCGCTGTCTCGTTTGCCATGAGCACTACAAGAGCATCTACCACCTGCTGCGTCACAAGCGTACACGCAGACATTGGCCGCAACGCGCAACCAAATATTTTGCCGCTACCTGCTGTGGCTGCGAGAAATTCTTTCGACACAAAATTGCACTGCGCAATCATATGCGCTACATTTGCCAAGCGCTCCCACTGTGCTGGTTCAAATCGCAAATGCAAACATTCAAGTGCCGCTGCTGTCGGCGCAGCACTTTCAATCATTGGCGCCTCTATCGACGTCACGAAGTCAAATGCAAATCAGCTAGAAAACGCAAAAAACAAGCAAGCGATACGCGTCTCCATGGACGCAGCAATCGTGCCAGAGGAAAAAGTAAACAACGCGCCATGAAAGCGTTCCCCTTGTCGGATGCGCGTAAAACTCTAGGCGACGCGCCCACACCAGCAGCTTCAAAGCAGAAGCATTCCACAGCTTCGGCGCGTGAATACATGTGTCCGGTATGCGCCAAGGCTTTCGCTTCCGCCAACAGCCTCAACCAGCACAGCATCACACACACTGATCAGCGGCGGCATATGTGTCGCTTGTGCGATCGCGCCTTTAAGCGCCGTAATGGACTGACGCAGCATGTGCGCGGTTATCATCTGAAGCTAAAGCCACATAAATGTACGGTATGCCAGCGCTCTTATGCGCTGAAAAGTGATATGCTGCGTTGTCGGCATGCGGCAGTTAAGCGCGCAGTGGGCACCGGTAACAATACATTGCCTGTGAAGAACGAAGACGCCAGCAGCGCAAAGTGATTTCTATGTGCAGTCACTGGCATGAATGAATAATTGTATTTTTTTTATCTACGTTAATCGGTGAATGTGTGGAATGTAGTATCTTGGTCCTTTTATTGATTAAATATGTGTTTTCCGTATTTGATTAGTAAACAATAAGTAGTACTGTAAGTGAATTGCATTGGTATTAAATATTTAATTAAGTTCGAATAAGTGAAATATATTACCATTAATGTTTTAAATATTACAACGTTCGTTTTAGTCTCNGCGGTGAATGTGTGGAAGATACTAATCTTGGTCCTTACATTGATTTAATATGTGTTTTCCGTATTTGATTAGTAAACAATAAGTAGTACTGTAAGTGAATTGCATTGGTATTAAATATTAAATTAAGTTCGAATAAGTTAAATATATTACCATTAATGTTTTAAATATTACAACGTTCGTTTTAGTCTCAATCGGCGCCTAAAGGTATGCAACACTCTAAAATTAAACCGGAAGTTATACATTCAGTAGATGTGCGTAGCTGTGACTGTAGCACTTGCACTGTTGCCTGTTGTGCTTCCATGCGCGCCTGGTAGAAAACGGAACAGACGAGCGCTTATGGTGTGATTATGGCAACTTAACGTAACTTCTTACGGCTCTCTCTTAAAAATTCTGTTAAATGGGTGGTGCTTATAATTGAACAGTCGAAACTTAACGTAACTTAATGCCACGTCGAAATCTGCTTCATTTTGATACTTTAAGTTCTACGTTCCGTTAAGTTAAGTTAATTTGCCATAATCAGGCTTTTACTGAAATTCACGTTTCACTTTTTCTTTCTCTCACAAGTCGACTATAATGATCCGAGAAGTTGTAAAAATATTAAAATTTTTGTTAAAAAAAAAAAGCTAAAGAAAAGATAGAGGGTTAGGTTGCACTGGTTGGCCAATGGATATGTCCACAGTGTCCTTCGAACTCCTCCTGATGAACCTGACACAATATTAAGGCACATCATCGCCCTTATGAAAACTGTAAAAAGACTTTTCGTTTGGCCTCGGGGAAAAAAAGTTTGTAAAGAGTCCTCTTAGGTTTCTCTATGACCGCTACTTTTACTATCGCTTTTGTCTCATGCCAAACTAATTTCGAAGCGTGCATTGAATTAACTTTTTGGCTATTTGCGGGAGAATTTAATAGACGGTTAGTTAAGCATATACAGACCGATTCTGAACAGAAACTCCCGGGAGTTTTCCCCCTTTTCCCTTACCTCCAATCATGAATAAAAATTCCCCCGAGGATTTTTTATGTTAAATGTACGATATACTTTTATTAAAGGGTTTTATTATTATGTAATATTCAATTTTTATTGCTGCTAGCATAAACTTTAAATAATTAAATATACAGACATACATAAATAGTATTTTAAAATATTTATTAAGCTTGGTGGTTATTTTAACATATAGTACATTACATATACATACATGAATACATATTTATATTAGTTAGAAACTTACATCATAAGCTTGGTCATGAAAATAAATTTTCTCATAAAACAATTTTTTAAAAAATAATTGCAACATAACAAAATAAAAAAAAAAAATTGCAAAAAAAATTTACTTTTTAAATAATAATTTGATATTTTCGATATTTTTTTTTTAATTATTCAGTACATATGGTTGACATTTTAATGCTACTGAGAAAAAAATTAAACTTTCAACACGTTGGCTTTTTTTACTGCTCTAAATAAAATTTAAGAACCATAATTAGTTTTTCTTCAAATTTAAATTCGCTAGTCAGAGTTATAGGAGTTTCCACCACAGTAAAATTGCGCAATTTCAACCGTAAATTACAATTTGAAATTAAAGCTGTTTACACGACCATCTTAATTTCAATTTCGATTATTTTTTTCGGTTTTGCTGTTTTGTTTATATTGGCGTGTTATTGAGGTTTGTTTTTTCTTCATTAATCATTCACAATAATTTTTAGTGTCGTATTCGCTAAGATGAGGCAATTTTGTACGCCGAAATTGAGAATCGTATGGCGACTCCAGCTGAAATTGAGAACAGTGTCGAAAGCGCGCAATTTGGGTGTCGTGGAAACTGCCTATTATTTAAATTTGTTTAATGCCACTTTAAATGCTGTATGCGTGTATGTATTTATAAAGGTGATGTTTACGTCTATCTGTTTTCGACTCACTAATTTTTGACTCGCGAGCAGAAATGTAACGCGCGAGTTAAGAATTTTCGTGCTTAACACTGAAGTCATGATTTTAAAAATTAGACATTTAGCAAATTTTATTTGTTTTTCAAACGAACGCCTGTACTTGAAATATTTCACATACATAAAATTAAGGTTTTTCCACAAACAACAAAAAAAAACATTAAAAATGAAATAAAGTTAAAATAAAAAACAAATAAATTTACCAAATAAAAAAATGGCACAAAAAAAAACAAACTTACTTTAAATAAACCACAATTCAAAAATATTTGCCTGCCTACATACAATACAAAAAAATATTGCGAAAATCCCAAAACAAAAACAAAAAAACGGCTCGCAATTAATAAGAAATGACCTATACGGAAATTGCTAATTGTACGGTAAGATTATTTGTGTATAATTAATTCTATATAGTGCGTATTATTGCTTGACACAAGTACATACATAGAACTAATTGCTTATACTAAGCGGCTACGAATTTTTTTTTCAATGTTGCTATGCTTGCTTTAATTGTTTTTTATATTTGTTTACTCTATAAAATTGAATTGAATTGCTTATGGATATTAGGGCGCAAAACTCTTTGCAAAAAGAAAAATCGAATTTGAGCTTCAGCAGAATTTGTAAGGTCGAAATTTTTTCCGAAAAAAAATTTTTTGCACAAAATTTCACACCCAAAAAAATTAAATGCATTTGCACCAAAGTCCGTTGCTTTGCTTAATATGTACAAAAAAATTGTTAGAATGCAGCTTTTATATAAAATTTGCTTTTTAAAGTTAATGTACACAAAAGAATTGTTTTTGATTTGTATTATTTTCATGCAGTAGTCGAGTCCAAATTTTAGGCAATGCCATGCAATTTTCTTGACAAACGACTCGCAATAACGACGATTGTTATTGTTTTTTGACTCGCGAATCGAAATGTAAAATTCATGAGTACAAAAAAAAAATTTTTGATATTGCTGATTTTGGGTACTTTCCTACTGATTTAAGCTCGTGTGCTAAAAGAAAAATATTAGAAGCAGTTGATTTTTAATATTTTTTGGCCTACATTTTTTGGTGTACTCCTTTTCTTTTTTCGGAGCGTTGCAATTTAAAATTCTAGAGCCATAAAAGTTTAAAGTGATTTCTTCTTTAGTCGTACATGCGTTTTTTTTTTTGGCTCGCGACTTGATTTGTAAAATCAAATTGAAATGTAAAATTTGCGAGTAAAAAAACAATTTAATGCTGAAAAAATTTAATTGTATTTTTTAAATTCGCGATACATTTTGTGGCTCGCGCTTTGAAATGTATAATTCGAGATGAAATAAAAAACTCAGGAGTAAAAAAAATAAAAATCAATGGATTTCGATTTATTTCTGTTATTTTTCGGCTCGGGAGTGTAAAATTCACGAGTCCAAAATTTTACGTGATTTTTGTTTTTGATCAAATTTTTTTTTGTCTAGAATCAAGAGTACAAATATAAAACATACAAATTCAAACTGTTTTGGCAACTTTTTTTTCTGCCTCACTTTTATTTATTTTTTTTTACTTGAAATTTTTTAATTTGAAATTCGCGCGTGATAAAATTTTTTATGCTTATTTATTCGTATTTACGAGTTGAAATATTAAATTCACCAGCCGTTGAAATTGTAAAGATTTTACATATATTTTTTAGTTTAACTTGAGAATTGAGAATTAAAACTCTCGAGCCGTAAAAGTTTTTTTTGTATTTAATTTTTTTACTCGCGAATTGCAATTTAAAATTCGCGAGCCACAGAAGCTGTAAAGTTTTTACTTCGCGAGCCTTAGAAGTTTTAAACAGTTTTTATTTATTGCTTTTTTTTACTCGCGAGTTGACACATAAAAGTTGCGAGTATTTATTTCTGATAATTATTAGAATGAGAGAATTTTCGAATTTTTTTTCAGCACAAATATTTAAAATGCATTTAAATGCTCGTTGTTGACTTTTTAAATGGAGAAAGTGCAACCATGCACGAACGAACATATTCACTGAATAAAAAAAAATCATAGAAAAACATCGCCGCATTTCAAAAAAAAAAACGCTTCGAATTTTCTTGCGAGTAGATTAGCTCTTTGGTGCTCGTCAAAGTGGTATAGTCTACTTTTAGGCTTTATACCTTACACCAACCTAAGCAAAGCAATTAAATTTCGTGCAAACGCTACTCAGTGGTTGATGGGGATTTAAAACTAACAGGCGCTTTTCGTATATAGTTTGTATATGTATGCGCACACAATTTGGTATCAATACTTGCGTAGAGAAATTTTTACTTATTTTATATTGTTAGGCGTATTCCCTCAAACTGGCGCAAAAGACTCGAACTTCCTATATTATTTATTTTCGCATTTCGGGTTTCCAATTTTTACGAGTTTAAGGGAATACCCTAATTAGTGAATTCTTTCGGGGTTTTCTTGTAAGCTTGCTTTGCGTAAAATTATTGATAGTATTTTTTAGTACTTGATGCTTATAAAATATTTATGCGATATGCGATGTGTGTGAGTGGTTCTTTTCTCTTCGGATACAACTTCTTCCGCGTGTTTTCTTGTTTTTTTGTTTTCGTTTGTTTGTTATATTTCTAAAACACATTTCCATCTTCCGTCGTACATACGTTGCTGCTAATGTTCTAAAAATGATGTGCTTGCTTACAAATCTACAAATTGTTGATGATAAATCTTGAATGTTTTCTAAAAACTTTCCCCTTCCGTACCCCGCCAAAACGTACTACGCGCGCAATCAATCGATTTATTGTTTTTGTTTGTTTTACTGAAAGATCGCTGCACGCTGTTGAAATTGCAAACGCCTATTGGCGCGCTCTTCTTCTTCGCGACGTCGCTCTTCCTGCTCCTGTCGTATCTCATCGTGAAATTTATTCGAACGCAGTTGTTGTTCAATTTTAGCTTCGAAGAAATTTTTCGCGCCGGTAACACCCACCTCCTCGACATTGATTTCGGTGAGTCGTGCCAACTGATTGAGACCCGAATCGTTGTCGAGTTCTCCGGCTTGCGCCTTGCGATAGATTAGCAGGAATTCACGGAATGAAATTTTACCATCGTGATCCTCATCGACTTCGGCAATCATTTGCTTGAGACCCAAGTGAGTTTGTGGTGCGCCCAATTTTTCCATCATGAATTTCAATTCAGTCAAATCTAGGTAGCCATCATGACCGACGTCATATCTGGAAGTAGAAAAAGAAGAAGAAACGAAATTTGAAATTAGTACTCGAAAGTGTGGAGGCTTAGAAGAAGAGGCTTAATTTAGAGACATAAATTAAAAATATGTATATTGTTGTTGCAGCCATTTTTGCAGTAAGTAAATTATCGCAACTTCGTCAAATAAAATGCATCCCAAACCTTTGCCAGGTAAAGAAAATCGTCAGCCAGGCAAACCTAACCGCACGTGCAGCCACTAATTGACGAATTGAAGCGACACAAACAGAGACGTATTCCAAAAAAAAAACAAAAAAAATTGATTAGAGAAAGGCGACTGTCTATACCTACATATGTATGCATGATTCAATTATTAAAGGTTTTGTAAGTAGCTTTTTTCTAAAATTTGGCACTCCCACCCACAGGGATGGTTTTTGGAAGCAGAAGAAAAAGGGGAAGAATTCAATCACACTTCCTAAAATGGGAGCTAAATTCTATAAAAACGTGTGGATAATAGTGAATGGTGGTATTTTAAAACAAAAACGAATTTGATTTAATTATTTAATTTAAACAAGCTTATTTACATCGAATATAACCCCCTATTGTTATTAAAAATAAATATTTCTATGTTTATACCAAACTTGCGTACGTCAGATGGCGCATAACTCGAGAATGGATGGTCCACTTTCAGCTTTTTTTTTGTTGTATTTGTTTGCCAGTTGATGGACATGAAGAAGCTATTTGTTTGCGGAA